AAATAAATTTGTGACTGAAGGCAAAACAGGAATCTATGCCTGCAAAATGCAACCACGGCAATTTAAAGGTCAGCACCAACAATGTGAATTGTGCTCAGAAATGTCCCGGAGTCAATGAAGATCCTTTCGGACTGGTGTTATGTTGTCTCAGCGGCTGCTCCCATTCTGTTGTCTAGCTGCCACATTCTGGATTAGTTGGGGTTTACGAGTCACCTTCAAAGATGGCCCCATGTAGCGCATGGAAGTAGTCCAAGGGGGAGATCACCAGAGCATGCACCACTCTGGGGAGACAGTCTCCAGGCATGGAGGGTCTCAGCTGGTGTAGCAGATGGAGCTGGCAGACAACTGCCCTGGACATAGAATAGACCTGCGACTCCATGGACAGCTGTGAGTCCAAAATTTGGTTTTACTGCTGTGGCTTCTTTTGCTGTCATGGACTGGCTGATTGCGGGGGCGGGGGAGAGGCACCAGCTGGGGGACCCCCAAGGGAAGAAGGCTCAGATCCTGGGGACTGGTGGTGGGATGGCAATGAGCAGAAAGAGGGAGAAAAGGGAGCAGAACGGCAGGGGAGTTGTTGCAAGCTGAGGAGGAAGCGGTTTGGTGAGCGGGATGAGGCTGGGGCAGAGAGCAGTTCAGGAGAGGAGGGAGGAGAAGAGGGGCCAGATGCACCCGTCTTGCATGCTTGAGTAGAGCAACTCCAGGGCATGAGCCAAGTATCAGCAGGGTAGGGGCCACATGCAGAGCAAGTCCCACGCTGAGGACAAAAACACACATAGGGGCAGCAGGACTTCTTCAGTAATAGTTTACTGAGCTTTCAAAGCATATAGTTCTCACTGGGTCCCCAGAGAGGCACAAAACTTTGCTCCTGAGAGCAAATCCAGTTTCAGCAGTGAAAAAATACAGCACACAGGATATCTAAGTCAGGCAGACACACCGGCAGAAGGGAGCAAGGGAGGAAAGAGGCTGGAAGGACACAGAGCAAAGGATGTGTGTGTTTTGCTTCCTGTCGTCTGGGAGTGAAGTCAGCAGCGCAGCATCTTCAGGGACTTCACGAAGCAAAGGTTTCTGCCGGCTCCTTTCAGGTAAATGTGCATTCCAGAAACACACACTGTGATTCGCAGTGTATTGACATATCAATTGTTTTTCAAAGGTTATCGGGATATGGTCTAGAAACCAGCATTGGATAAGATATTAAAATATCGCCCAGCCCTAATCCGCACCCACCACCAGCAATCCATATTCACCCTCTCCCTTTCTCTATCAAAAGGTAAGGCAAAGGTTATTGGTTAAGAAAGTGAAGTATCTAGGGGTTCATATGACTGCTAAAAATGTGAATCTATTTAAAGATAACTATGAAAAATGTTGGATGGAAGTGAAAAAGGATTTGGAAATATGGTCAAAATTGAAGTTATCATTGTTGGGCCGAATTGCTGCGATAAAGATGAATGTATTGCCTAGGATGTTGTTTCTGTTTCAAACATTGCAAATTTTGGACAAGATGGACTGTTTCAAGAAATGGCAGAGAGATATCTCGAGATTTGTCTGGCAGGGCAAGAAGCCTAGAATAAAATTTAAGATTTTAACTGATGCTAAAGAAAGAGGTGGATTTGCCCTGCCAGACTTTAAACTTTATTATGAATCAGCCGCATTTTGTTGGCTGAAAGATTGGCTGCTTCTTGAAAACACGGACATTTTGGATTTAGAAGGTTTTAACAATGTTTTTGGATGGCATGCATACTTGTGGTATGACAAGGTTAAAGCACGCAAAGCCTTTAAGAACCATATTGTTAGGCAAGCATTGTTTAATGTCTGGGTGAGATATAAGGACTTGCTGGAAAGTAAAACACCAAGGTGGCTGTCACCAATGGAGGCCAAGGCTCTGAAAAAAATTAATATGGAGACAAATAGGCCAAAATATTGTGAAATTTTAGAACAAGATGGAGATAGATTAAAGCTGCAGAGCTTAGACAATTTAAAAACTAAAGTACGAGACTGGCTTCATTACTATCAAATAAGGGAGGCTTATAATTTAGATAAGAAAATTGGTTTTCAGGTGGAAAAATCAAAATTGGAAACAGAATTGTTAGATCCTAAAATCAAGAATTTATCAAGAATGTATAACTTGCTGTTGAAATGGAATACACAAGATGAAACGGTTAAATCTGCTATGATTAAATGGGCAGAAGACTTTGGATATAACATTATGATGGCTGACTGGGAAAAGTTATGGACCACAGGTATCAAGTTTACGGCTTGTAATGCCTTAAGAGAAAATATAATGAAAATGATTTACAGGTGGTACTTAACCCCAGTCAAGCTGGCAAAAATTTATCATCTGCCCGATAATAAATGTTGGAAATGTAAAGAGACTGAGGGCACATTTTTTCACCTTTGGTGGACATGCCCAAGGATCAAGGCCTTCTGGGAGATGATCTATAATGAAATGAAAAAGGTATTTAAATATACCTTCCAGAAGAAACCAGAGGCCTTCCTTCTGGGCATGGTCGGCCAATTGGTGCGAAGAGAGGATAGAACCTTTTTTATGTATGCTACAACAGCAGCAAGAATACTCATCGGAAAGTACTGGAAGACACAAGAATTACCCACCCGAGAAGAATGGCAGACGAAAGTGATGGACTATGTGGAATTGGCTGAGATGACTGGCAGAATCCGAGACCAGGGAGAAGGGTCGGTGAAAGAAGATTGGAAAAAATTTAAAATATATCTTCAAAAATATTGTAATATTAAAGACTGTTAGAAAGATGTTGGAAAAGAAAATTAGGCAGTTTTGGTAGATATGATATAAAGGATTAAGCAAAAATGAGTTGATGAAATTGATGAAACAGAGGATGTTTAATTATAATATTTTAAATTAAAACACGTAAATGAAAATAAGGTTGGAAAGATTTGCTGAAAAAACGATCTGAACTAGAATACAAAATTGGGAGGTGAGAGGAGGTCAAGGAAATAAGTAAAGGGAAAAAGTTATGTAAAGGTTTAATCTGTTTTTGTTCTATTTTAATTCAATGCATTTTTATATTTTTTGTTTTGCTTTTTTTATTCTATTTTATTGTTCTCTTTTTTCTTGTTACTTTTTGCTCTGTTATGGTTAAATTCTTCTTTCTATTTTGTACTTTTTTTTTCTCTTTTTGTAATTTTAAACCTGGAATAAATATCATTAAAAAAAAAAAAAAAAGGTAAGGCAAAGGTAAAGGGACTCCTGACCATTAGGTCCAGTCATGACCAACTCTGGGGTTGCTGCGCTCATCTCGCTTTACTGGCGAGGGAGGGAGCCGGCGTACAGCTTCCGGGTCATGTGGCCAGCATGACTAAGCCACTTCTGGCGAACCAGAACAGCACACGGAAACACCGTTTACCTTCCCGCCTGAGCGGTAGCTATTTATCTACTTGCACTTTGACATGCTTTCGAACTGCTAGGTTAGCAGGAGCAAGGACCGAGTAATGGTAGATCACCCTGTCGCAGGGATTCAAACCACAGACCTATGGTTTAACCCACAGCGCCACCTGCGTCCCTGTCAAAAGGTACTTTATATCTAACATTATTCTCACTATTGTGAGACATTACCTTCATTTAAAGAAATACAGCACACAGGTACACACACCAGCAGAAGGGAGCAAGGGAGGCAAGAGGCTGGAACGACACAGGGCAATGTGTTTTGTCAGGGAATGGTCTGAAGCCGAATATTGGGGAATGCATTCTCAAGCAGATTAGCTTTCCTCAGAAGAGGAGGGAGAAAAATGGCCCCCCTCGTTTCCAGTGGTCTCAGAAGCAGGGAGAGACACAGACACAGTGAAGATTAGACAGGAGTTACCTAGTTCGAGATAATGCCAACACTCAGCTGGGCCCTGAAGCCGGAAGCCGGATCTCCTCTGAGTTCATTGCTGTGAAGAAGAGGGGATTCTGAGAGGAACATGTCCCGCACTCCATACATCTAAATGGGTTCTCCCATCTGAGACTCCCTTGATGTTTCTTAAACACTCCATTATAACTAAAGCACTTTCTGTAATCCTTCCATTTAAACTGCTTCTTGGCTTTGAGTTTCTTGATGGTTTGTAGGGTTTCAACTCTTAAAGTTCTTCCTGTCCATGAGTCTGTTGATGTAGGACTTCCACTAGGACTGAACCTTTATCGCCTTTCCTGACATTTATATGGTTTGTCTCTTGGGTGAGTTTGTTGGCGTAAATTAAGGGTTCCACTCTGACTGAAGCTCCTTCTACACGCCGTAGATTTAAATGATTTCTCCCCTGTGTGTCTGCTGATGTTTTCTAAGATTTCCACTTTCACTGAAGCTCTTCCCACACTCCAGGCATTCAAATGGTTTCTCCCCTGTGTGAGTCCGTTGATGTATATTGAGGTGTCCACTCTGCCTGAAGATCTTTCCACACTCCATACATTCATATGGTTTTTCACCTGTGAGAGTCCGCTGGTGTAATTTAAGGTTTCCATTCTGACTGAAGCTCTTTTCGCACTCCATACATTTATATCATTTCTCCCCTGTGTGTCTGCTGATGTTTTCTAAGATTTCCACTTTCACTGAAGCTCTTCCCACACTCCAGGCATTCAAATGTTTTCTCCCCTGTGTGAGTCCGTTGATGTATATTGAGGTGTCCACTCTGCCTGAAGATCTTTCCACACTCCATACATTCATATGGTTTTTCACCCGTGAGAGTCCGCTGGTGTAATTTAAGGTTTCCATTCTGACTGAAGCTCTTTTCGCACTCCATACATTTATATCATTTCTCCCCTGTGTGAGTCCGTTGATGTATTCTAAGGGTTGCATTGAAACTAAAGCTCTTTCCGCACTTCATACATTCATATGGTTTCTCCCGTGTGAGTCTGTAGATGAATAATGAGGTGTCCACTCTGACTGAAACTCTTTCCGCACTCCATGCATTTAAAAGGTTTTTCACCCGTGTGAGTCCGTTGATGTCTTCTAAGGTCTCCATTCTTACTGAAGGTCTTTCCGCACTCCATACCTTTAAATGGTTTCTCCATTTAAATGATGTCTAAGGGATACACTGTGACTGAAGCTCTTTCCGCACTCCATACATTTAAATGGTTTCTCCCTTGTGTGAGTTTGTAGATGAATATTGAGGTGTCCACTCTGACTGAAGCTCTTTCCGCACTCCATACATTTAAATGGTTTCTCCCCTGTGTGAGTCCGTTGATGTCTTCTAAGGTCTCCATTTTCACTAAAGCTCTTTCCGCACTCCATGCATTTAAAAGGTTTTTCACCAGTGTGAGTCCGTTGATGAATATTGAGGTGTCCACTCTGACTGAAGCTCTTTCCACACTCCATACATTTATATGGTTTCTCCCCTGTGTGAGTCCGTTGATGTATTCTAAGGGTTGCATTATCAGTAAAGCTCTTTCCGCACTCCATAGATTTAAATGGTTTTTCCCCTGTGTGAGTCCGTTGATGTATTCTAAGTTTTACATTTTCACTAAAGCTCTTTCCGCACTCCATACATTTATATGGTTTCTCCCCTGTGTGAGTTTGTAGATGAATATTGAGGTGTCCACTCTGTCTGAAGCTCTTTCCGCACTCCATACATTTATATGGTTTCTCCCCTGTGTGAGTTTGTAGATGAATATTGAGGTGTCCACTCTGTCTGAAGCTCTTTCCGCACTCCATGCATTTAAAAGGTTTTTCACCCGTGTGAGTCCGTTGATGTGTTCTAAGTTCTCCGTTCTTACTGAAGCTCTTTCCGCACTCCATACATTTAAATGGTTTCTCCCCTGTGTGAGTCCGTTGATGACATCTAAGGGATACATTGTGACTGAAGCTCTTTCCGCACTCCATACATTTAAATGGTTTTCCCCTGTGTGAGTCCGTTGATGACATCTAAGGGATACATTGTGACTGAAGCTCTTTCCACACTCCATACATTTAAATGGTTTTTCCCCTGTGTGAGTCCGTTGATGACGTCTAAGGGATACATTGTGACTGAAGCTCTTTCCGCACTCCCTACATTTAAATGGTTTTTCACCTGTGTGAGTCCGTTGATGTGTTCTAAGGTTTATATTGAAACTGAAGCTCTTTCCACACTCCATACATTTATATGGTTTCTCCCCTGTGTGAGTCCGTTGATGACATCTAAGGGATGCATTGCGACTGAAGCTCTTTCCACACTCCATACATTTAAATGGTTTTTCCCCTGTGTGAGTCCGTTGATGACATCTAAGGGATGCATTGCGACTGAAGCTCTTTCCACACTCCATACATTTAAAAGGTTTTTCACCTGTGTGAGTCCGTTGATGTGTTCTAAGGTCTCCATTCTTACTGAAGCTCTTTCCACACTCCATACATTTATATGGTTTCTCCCCTGTGTGACTCTGTTGATGACATCTAAGGGATACATTGTGATTGCAGCTCTTTCCGCACTCCATACATTTATATGGTTTCTCCCCTGTGTGAGTCCGTTGATGAATATTGAAGTGTCCACTCTGACTGAAGCTCTTTCCACACTCCATACATTTATATGGTTTTTCCTGTTGGAAGTCGTTGATGTGAGCTATGTATGTTCATTCAGTGAAGCATATTCCACATTTGACACATTTTAATTTCTCTTCCTAATTAAACTGAAGGTGCCCGATCCCCTGAAGTTTTGACTGTCTTCTCCTTCACCTTCTTCAGAGTGGAAGGAAAGGAAATCCTGTTTGGGTTTCAAGGAAGAGAACAAAGGAAAAGAGAGCACATCAGATGCCATTAGCACCACCTCATATTTCAACATATCCTACATTTCCCCGCATCCTACCCTTGTTCCAAATTTTTAGGAAATGAAAATGCAATGTCATCAAATGATAGCAATGCATCAGCAACCTTTCATAATCCTCAATCAGCAGCATGATAAAGCAGCATGATATTGGAATACAGACTTTTCCAACCAATTGTTTCCTCACAAGGAAAGGCAGCTGCTCTCTGTCCATGAAAAGGCCCTCTCTTTCTTTGGTCCATCGTTCCTTTGGACATTTCCCATCCTCTGCAACATAATCCTCCATCCACCTCTGTCTCTTAATGAATCACCTGCACAGTCCCATTGGCCTCAGGAGGTCCATATGGACTATTATGTGAGACCTAGGTCTATGCCTTTTCCAGGGACTGTGGTCTGGGTTAGTCAGAGAACTAGTGACAAGTCTTGGTGCTTTGGGTCAGCTGAATGGGTGCTCAGGGAAGCTCCTGTTCTTGGAGATGGACCTCCGTCTAGATGCCTTGCATTGCATGGAAAGAGAAGGAGAAGCAGAAGGAAAGCAGCTGGCGCATGGGAATCCCAGACGGAAAAACCCACCCCCATTGCTCCTTATAATAATGAGGTGCAGCCTCATCTTGTGCCTGTCTCCTGAATCAGGACTATCCTAAAATGACACTTACAAATCTGAATACTAAAGGCAAATAGATAACTGTACTTAATGGAAACTTCATCCTTGAATATGTAGTATTGATTCATTAACAGCCTGAAGTTATGTTGTTTCTTGAGAAATAAATTTATTCCTGATCTGTCTTAATTATCATAATTATAGGATGGCTTGGGGTGTTAGGGGAGCGGTAGTACCTTTGGTGGGCGACATGTAGTCCACCTTGTGGGGTAATATTTCCACCATTGGTCCCCACCCTGCACTCAGCTCTCACCTGTGGCTTCCAGAAGCTGCCAGAATGCAACAGAGGCAGCGATCCAAGCAACAGCTTCAACGGGCCGGCTAAACCAGGTGAGGATACCTGATGGGCCTCAAACGCTTGGTGGGTTGGGGAATTCTGGTGCAGGTGAAGGCAGACCCTGGTGGATGGAGAGGAGGAGAACAACAGTGAATCCCACAGTCAAAAAGGCAGATTCCGCCCATGCTGCAGAGGAAAGTGAAGGGCAGATGTGATTGTCAACCGGGGAGGAAGCCCATCGAGAAGGAAAGCTCTGATCCTAAACCTTCGCTGCCTTGTGAGTTATCTTCAGGAGAAGAGAAGGCTATTGGGGGGAACCTACACAAATCCAGAATGGACTCTCTAAGACGGTTGGATGGTGTCCTGCACACCTCCTTCCAGCATCTCCGATGGCCCCTTGAAAGCTAATGAAAGTCTTGGGCCTGGAGCTTTTGGAGGGGCAGGACCAGGAAAGCTTCTGCCACCATTATCCTTCCAATTGGGATTCAGGCCTCATGATGGGACGGAAACTGCCCTACTTGCGCTGCTTGATGATCTCCGATGGGCTAGAGTCCAAGGGGGGAAAAGCTCTTTCCTGGTTCTGCTGGATATGTAAGCGGCTTTGGAGACCTTTGACCATGGTATGTGCACATTTGACCATGTGCAGTGGTTCTCCTCCTTCCTCCTGGGCCATATCCAGTAAGTGGTGTCGGGGGATGAGTGTTCAGACCTCTGGGCTCTCACTTGTGGGGTTCCTGAGGCCTCCATCCTCTCCCCCATGCTTTTTAATATCTATATGAAGACGCTGGGAGAGATCATCAGGGGGGTTGGGTTGGGTGTTCCCCAGTATGTGGATGATACCAAGCTCTACCTCTCTTTTAAATTGGAACCAGTGAAGGTACTGTATGAGTGTCTGGAGGCAGTTGAAGGATGGATGGTGGCTAACAGATTGAGGTTGAATCTTGACAAGACAGAAATACTGCCCCAGGGGGAAAGGGGGCAGGCAGGTGTGGAAGACGCCCTAGACCTGATGGAGGTAACTGTGCCCCAAAAGGACCAGGTGCACAACCTGGGGGTCATTTTGGACTCACAGCTGTCCATGGAGTCGCAGGTCAATTCTGTGTCCAGGGCAGTTGCCAGCCAGCTCCATCTGGTACGCTGGCTGAGACCCGCCATGCCTGGAGACTGAGTGGTGCTGCTGGTCACAGCGGGGGGAGGGGGGCATCTCCCTGGATGCTTCAGCAGCCGGCATCCTCTGGGTCTCCTGGCCCCTCTTCTCCTCCCTCCTCTCCTGAACTGCTCTCTGCCCCAGCCTCATCCCACTCACCAAACCGCTTCCTCCTCAGCTTGCAACAACTCCCCTGCCGTTCTGCTCCCTTTTCTCCCTCTTTCTGCTCATTGCCATCCCACCACCAGTCCCGAGGCTCTGAGCCTTCTTCCCTTGCGGGTCCCCCAGCTGGTGCCTCGCCCCCACCCCCGCAATCAGCCAGTCCATGAAAGCAAAAGCAGCCACAGCAGTAAAACCAAATTTTGGACTCACAGCTGTCCATGGAGGTGCAGGTCTATTCTATGTCCAGGGCAGTTGTCTGCCAGCTCCATCTGGTACGCCGGCTGAGACCCTCCATGCCTGGAGACTGTCTCCCCAGAGTGGTGAATGCTCTGGTGATCTCCCCCTTGGACTGCTTCCATGCGCTACATGGGGCCACCTTGGAAGGTGACTCGTAAACCCCAACTAATCCAGAATGTGGCAGCTAGACAACAGAATGGGAGCAGCCGCTGAGACAACATAACACCAGTCCGAAAGGATCTTCATTGACTCCCAGTACATTTCTGAGCACAATTCACATTGTTGGTGCTGACCTTTAAATTGCCGTGGTTGCATTTTGCAGGCATAGATTCCTGTTTTGCCTTCAGTAACAAATTTATTTGCTGAAGGAATTTTTTGCTGTCTCTGAGCGTTTTTCCCTGCTCTGCTAATTGTATGTTGGACTTGCTCTGGAGATCATTGTGGAGGAGAAAATCAGAGGGATGCCATCAGGATGTATCAGGAGGTTTTTAATGTCTGATGTTTTACTGTCTTTTATATGTACTGTAAGCTGCCCAGAGTGACTGGGGAAACCCAGCCAGATGGGTGGGGTATAAATACTACAATCATTCTTATTATATTGTTATTCTTTTGTAGTTATTTTGGATTTCGTACTGCAATATCAGCTCACGAAATGTTATGGGTGGAGAAACTCACAGGGCTGCCCTAAACTGTAATCCCACCCACTACTTCTCATTCACATACAGTCTGTAAATTTGGGGAGGTCACATACCTCACCTGTGCTAATACTGGCAGTTTTTGGCTTGTATAGGCACACCTTGTATGTAGAGCCTCCAGCCACAGGCACTGTCTATCATGAAAATGGGTCCTTTGACTGGGAAGAATCTCAGCTTGTCAGTCACTCTGACACTCCCTACCAAAAATAAGAGGAACAGAAATGCTTTTGAGGTGCAACTTCTATATGAATCCTGAGAGCCATTCCATGGACTCTGCACCCCTGTTTCTGATGACAGGTGTACATTATCCTCATCCTCAATGAAGCAGGCAGTGGAAAAGACATTAAAGATGGAAGCCTGAGAGAGAGGAAAAGGTTTCTGGCTGCTTCCTGGGTGGGATTGTGGAAACAGAGAACGGCTTCTGAAAAGGGCTCTCCCCTCCCCTCCCCTCCCCTCTTCCTCTCTGGATTTGAACCGCAGCGACTGGGCAGTGCAGGGGTTTCTGGGGGCGTGAAGAGGATGCAGCTTGCAGGAAGGAAGCCACACGGGGGTCTCTATCCAGGCGTCCCTCGCGCCCGTTAACCCTTTCATGGCCCGCCTTTCTCCGTGCAGATCCCACAGGGCCCCAGGGATCCCTGCGTGGGGGAAACGGGGCAAAGGGGCCCTGGTGGTACCCCCTCAGTAGGCGCCCCATGTCCGCTGCTGCCAAGGCGCAGCACGGATGCAGGGATCTAGGCCATGCCGACGGGACCCACGAAAGGCGCTTTGGGGAGCTGGCGCGGCGTCCCTACCTGGGTCCTTTTCTGTCCTCCCCCCCCATGACCCCTTTACCTCTTTCTCCTCACTCCAGATTCTCCTTTCCTTTCCTGCAACATCCACGGGGGGGGGGGTGTCGCCTGCTGCCCCTCCTCCCCTTTCCGAAAGCGCGCTGCCCTAGAGCTACGGCGCAGAGCAGTAATCCGGAGTGGAAGCTCCACTTCCGGGAGAAGCAGGCAGTTTGGGAGGGGGGCTCTCCCCCCCTATTCCCGGAACAGAGGTCGGATGACGAGGAGGAGGAGCAACATATTGGGGAGGGGATTTGGGGATGAGGGGGAGGGATGAGGGAAGGAGGTGCCGGGAGGGGAGGAACTGGGGGGAGGGAGAGGAAGGTATCTCTCCTCCCCTCTTCCATCTGTGGATCAGGAGAGCGGGGGAGGGGCTGATCCCGCAATCCAATTACAAAGTGGGGTTCCCCCCCAATGTTTACATTGCAAAATCCTTCCCTCACCCACCCCACGCCACGAGCCGTGCGTCCGTGTTTTAGGTATTGGTGCTCTTCAAACCAGGAGGGGGGACAGTTATACGACTCCCCCAAAACCCCAAGTCCCCACCACAGCCTCAGACTAAGGCCAGGACAATGACCGTTGACACAAGCACCTTCCATGCACAACAGCAAGGAGGCTCAGAAAAGCAGAAAAGCAAAAGTAGCAAGAAGCGGATACCATGAATCGGACTGTTTCCTCCGACTATCCAATACGCCTAATGACTCCTCTGGAATTGGGGGATCCAGGGCTCCCCCTGACTCCATAATCCCTTAGGAGGCAGGAGGCGATCAAGGGCAGCACATGTCCCAGACAGAAATCCATCGGGATGGTGGATTGAATCCTGATGCATTCAAAGGAGAAGCGCAGGAAAGCCTTCCAGTTCGGGGGATGTCCGAATACTATTACGGTTCTTTGGGGAAGAGGGTAGTTAAAAGGTGTGGGAAAATAGGGTTACTGACGGGCAGGGAGACGGGCTCATTTTTCTAAATGCCAAAGACTCCTACTTTGTGACATATTTGTGATGTATCGATGACCCTGTATTGTGGGAAATGGGGAGAGGTGTTAAAAGTTCGCGCAACCATATGTAATTTTGGTAAGAATTTTAAGGTCTAATGTATACAAAATAAATGTTCTAAGAACACACACACACACCCCACATGTCTGAAGCCAATAGAAAAAGTTCTAGAACCATTTTGTACCTCCCAAATTAACCTCAAATATTTCTCTGCAAGGTCATAGTGGGAAACCTCCCCATTGTCTAAACAGCATCTTAAAAACCTCCCCATTGTCTAGACAGCATCTTAAAAAGTAGAGACATCACCTTGCCAACAAAGGTCCATATAGTAAAAGCTATGGTTTTCCCAGTAGTGATGTATGGAAGTGAAAACTGGACTATAAAGAAGGTTGATCGCCGAAGAATTGATGCTTTTGAATTATGGTGCTGGAGGAGACTCTTGAGAGTCCCATGGACTGCAAGAAGATCAAACCTCTCCATTCTGAAGGAAATCAGTCCTGAGTGCTCACTGGAAGGACAGATCGTGAAGCTGAGGTTCCAATACTTTGGCCACCTCATGAGAAGAGAAGACTCCTGGAAAAGACCCTGATGTTGGGAAAGATGGAGGGCACAAGGAGAAGAAGACAAGATGGTTGGATAGTGTGCGTGAAGCTACCAGCATGAGTTTGACCAAACTGCGGGAGGCAGTGGAAGACAGAAGTGCCTGGCGTGCTCTGGTCCAGGGGGTCACGAAGAGTCGGACATGACTAAACAACAAGAAGATATGAATAAGGGACGCGGGTGGCGCTGCGGGTTAAACCACAGAGCCTAGGACTTGCTGATCAGAAGGTCGGCGGTTCGAATCCCAAGGGGGTGAGCTCCTGTTGCTCAGTCCCTGCTCCTGCCAACCTAGCAGTTCGAAAGCATGTCAAAGTGCAAGTAGATAAATAGGTACCGCTCTGGCGGGAAGGTAAACGGCGTTTCTGTGCGCTGCTCTGGTTTGCCAGAAGAGGCTTAGTCATGCTGGCCTCATGACCCGGAAGCTGTATGCCGGCTCCCTCGGCCAATAAAGCGAGATGAGCAACGCAACCCCAGAGTCGGTCACGACTGGACCTAATGGTCAGGAGTCCCTTTACCTTAAGATATAAATAGAGTGAGCCTGCGACCTGTGACCTGGATTCAGGAATTGAGTAGCTATCATAACAAAAGAGTGGCCAGGATGCCCAGGTAATCCAATCAGGTAACCTGGCAGACAGGAGAAAAACAGCTCACCCAGATTTCTGTTGTAGTCTGCCCCTTCTCTGATGTAGGTATGCTGTCTTGGGGGTGGTCTTGGGCTACACCCCTTCTGTGATGTATTTATGATGTTTCGGGGGGGGGGCGGTCTTGGGCTCCAGGACGGGCAATTTCAAAATGTCTATATAAGGGCTTGCACTCCTTTGTAAGGGCTCCTCCTCTCTCCTGCCTGTGGGGGGAACACCCTATTGCAAGAGCTTCAATAAAGATCAGGCTTACTAGCTGCTTTGATTCTCAATATTCTGTAGTTGGCCTCTGTTATTTCCTCCTACCGATAAAGAACCTACAAAAGGACTCTATATGGGCTCTTGGATACCCCATAAGGGATAAAGGAGCAGCTTCCCCCTCTCGTAATGCAACCAAACAATCTTTGTGTTTGAACCTTGTTGCAACAAATAAAGATCAGGTCTGCTGACCGAGGTTTTGTATATTTAACGTGGCTGGAGATTCCTTCTTTTGCTGACCAGAGGGACCCCCGGGGAGTGGCACCCTGACGAGCTGGGCAGCGGAGTAAATCCACACCCCAGGATTTTTTCTTTCTCAACTCTTTCCCACCTGAGCCTCATCCCCTTACCTAAAAGCCAGACACAACACAATGGGACAGGATTGTGACTCCTGCCCTCAGCAAACAAAATAGCTTCCCCCCACCCCCAGAACAAAGCAACCCTGGGATGCTGAGGTCCCCCAATCCCTGAAATGAAAAGGGGAGAGGCTCAGGAAACCTTCAGGGAGCAGGCAAGGAGTGGGGTGCATAGGCTCCAGAAGCTCCTTCTAGCGGATTCCTCCACTCCACGCCACTCCCCACCGCAAGCCGCCTGCCTCCCCATCGCTCCCATGGCTGCTTCACAAGTGTGGGGAAGCTGTGGCCCCTCCGCCTGGAGCTCCAAGTTCCTTTAAGAGCCCAGCGTTGCACAGGGCAGGCTCACCTGCAGCAAAACACAACACAGCTTCCCTGGCAGTCTGGAGCCAGGCTGGGGAGCATCGTGGGCACCCCATATAAGAATATATATAATAATTTATTATTTATACCCCGCCCATCTGGCTGGGCTTCCCCAGCCACTCTGGGCGGCTCCCACCCCAATACTAAAAACACAATACAGTGGTACCTCGGGTTACATACGCTTCAGGTTACAGACTCCGCTAACCCAGAAAAAGTCCTTCAGGTTAAGAACTTTGCTTCAGGATGAGAACAGAAATTGTGCTCTGGCGGTGTGGCGGCAGCAGGAGGCACCATTAGCTAATGTGGTGTTTCAGGTTAAGAACAGTTTCAGGTTAAGTACGGACCTCCGGAACAAATTAAGTACTTAACCAGAGATACCACTGTACGGCATTAAACATTAAAACACTTCCCTAAACTTCGCCAGAAATGTGTCCCTAGAAGAAATGTGCTTCCCCAATCAGAGGCAGCCGTCCTTCTCTGGTGCTTAAGTGCTGCCAGTGGGCTTCCCAGAAGAGGCCCCTGCTGGGCCCCTGGGAGGACAGGGGCCCCTTGGGCCTGATCCTGCAGGGCTCACCTGACGTTCTAATGCAAGTGAATCCTCCTTTATCCTTCAGGGAGAACAGGGTTTCCCAAATTTGGGTCTCCAGCTGTTTTTGGACTATAGAACCCACCATCCCAAGCTAGCAAGACTAGGGATGAAGGGAACTGTTGGCAGGCCCTGCAGGTGGCTCTGGCAAGTGAGCCCAGCTGCATGTGACCAGTGTGGGGAGAATTCCTTCCCGGATTCCAGAAGTGGGCATCAGCTTTGAGTATTGGGGTCAGTGCCCCTATTCCTCCAGCAGTAGCGATTGTGGGGCTTCCTCGCCCGCTTCCATTCAGCTCCGCCATGACCAAATGGCAATTCTTCTTTAGCCATTGTGGGAGCAGACGGGCTGGAAGCTGAAGGGGCTTCCCTGTGAGTAGGCTTTGCTTCGCTTTCTGCTTACCTCAGCCTCTTGGATTGTGGCCAGCTTTCATCTTCCATTTCCCTGAATGCTGAGCAGTGTTGGGTGTGTGGGGAAGTGAAATTCACTCCATAACTTTTCCGGAGGGTTCCCTCCGCAGCACAGAAGGATGGGGGGAGGGAGGAACACGTACTAATAAACGGAAAGTCCTATGAATGGAGAGAAGCAGAAAGTGGAGTCCCCTATAGATCAGTATTGGGACCTGTGGCTTTTCAACTTGTTCATAAATGATCTAAAGTTAGGAGTAAGCAAAGTTTGCTGATGGCAGTAAATTGTCCAGGGTTGTTCAAACAAAGAGAGATTGCAAGGAGCACCTAAGAGCTCTCCAAACGGGGATTGGGCTGAAAATACAGTTCATTGTCAACGAGATTCAAGTGATGCATGTTGGGGGGCAGAGAAACACCCTCTTAATATCATGTGCAGGATCATGGGGTCTGAATCGGGTTTCTCTGTGTGCTCTAGGAGACCAGGGGAGGGGAGCTGGTCGCAGCAGGAGGGGGGGTCTCCCTGGATGCTTCAGGGGCCGGCCTCCTCTGGGTCTCCTGGCCCCTCTTCTCCTCCCTCCTCTCCTGAACTGCTCTCTGCCCCAGCCTCATCCCGCTCACCAAACCCTTTCCTCCTCAGCTTGCAACAACTCTCCTGCCGTTCTGCTCCCTTTTCTCCCTCTTTCTGCTCATTGCCATCCCACCACCAGTCCCCAGGATCTGAGCTACTTCCCTTGGGGGTCCCCCAGCTGGTGCCTCGCCCCCGCCCCCGCAATCAGCCAGTCCATGACAGCAAAAGCAGCCACAGCAGTAAAACCAAATTTTGGACTCACAGCTGTCCATAGAGGTGCAGGTCAATTCTGTGTCCAGGGCAGTTGTCTGCCAGCTCCATCTGGTACGCTGGCTGAGACCCTCCATGCCTGGAGACTGTCTCCCCAGAGTGGTGCATGCTCTGGTGATCTCCCCCTTGGACTGCTTCCATGCGCTACATGGGGCCACCTTGGAAGGTGACTCGTAAACCCCAACTAATCCAGAATGTGGCAGCTAGACAACAGAAAGGGAGCAGCCGCTGAGACAACATAACACCAGTCCGAAAGGATCTTCATTGACTCCCAGTACATTTCTGAGCACAATTCACATTGTTGGTGCTGACCTTTAAATTGCCGTGGTTGCAATTTGCAGGCATAGATTCCTGTTTTGCCTTCAGTCACAAATTAATTTGCTGAAGGAATTTTTTGCTGTCTCTGAGCGTTTTTCCCTGCTCTGCTAATTGTATGTTGGACTTGCTCTGGAGATCATTGTGGAGGAGAAAATCACAGAGATGCCATAAAGGGTAATCCCACCCACAACTTCTCATTCACATACAGTCTGTAAATTTGGGGAGGTGACACACCTCACCTGTGCTAATACTGGCAGTCACTGGCCTGTATAGGCACACCTTGTATGTAGAGCCTCCAGCCACAGGCACTGTCTATCATGAAAATGGGTCCTTTGACTGGGAAGAATCTCAAATTGTCAGTCATTCTGACACTGCCTACAAAGAATAAGAGGAACAGAAATGCTTTTGAGGTGCAACTTCTATATCAATCCTGAGAGCCATTCCATGGACTCTGCACCCCTGTTTCTGATGACAGGTGTACATTATCCTCATCCTCAATGAAGCAGGCAGTGGAAAAGACATTAAAGATGGAAGCCTGAGAGAGAGGAAAAGGTTTCTGGCTGCTTCCTGGGTGGGATTGTGGAAACAGAGAACGGCTTCTGAAAAGGGCTCTCCCCTCCCCTCCCCTCCCCTCTTCCTCTCTGGATTTGAACCCCAGCGACTGGGCAGTGCAGGGGTTTCTGGGGTGGGAAGAAGATGCAGCTTGCAAGAAGGAAGCCACACGGGGGTCTCTATCCAGGCGTCCCTCGCGCCCGTTAACCCTTTCATGACCCGCCCTGCTCCGTGCAGATCCCACAGGGACCCAGGGATCCCTGCGTGGGGGAAACGGGACAAAGGGGCCCTGGTGGGACCCCCTAGGTAGGCGCCCCATGTTCGCCGCTGCCAAGGGGGGTCTCTGGGTCCTTTTCTGTCCTCCCCGCCCCCGCGACTCCTTTACCTCTTTGTCCTCGCTCCAGATTCTCCTTTCCTTTCCTGCAACATCCACGGGGGGGGGCGGGGTGTCGCCTGCTGCCCCTCCTCCCCTTTCCGAAAGCACGCGCCCCTAGATCAAAGGCGCAGAGCAGCAATCCGGCGCAGAAGCTCCTCTTCCGGGAGAAGCAGGCAGGTTGGGAGGGGGGCTCATCCCCCCCATTCCCGGAACAGAGGTCGGATGGCGAGGAGGAGGAGCAACATATTGGGGAGGGGGACTTGGGGTTTTGGGGGCGGGGTGAGGGAAGGATGTGTCGGGAGGGAGGGGAGGAATTGGGGGGAGGGAGAGGAAGGTTTCCCTCCTCCCCTCTTCCATCTGTGGATCAGGAGAGCGGGGGGGGGATGATCCTGCAATCCAATTACAAAGTGGGTTGTTCCCCCCAACGTTTACATTGTAAAACCCTTCCCTCGCCCACCCCACGCCAGAAAAGCAGCCTATACAATTGTAGCAAGAAGCGGATACCATGAATCGGACTGTTTCCTCCGACTATCCAATACTGTATAGAAAACTGTAGAAACGTCAAATAATAGCCAAGTCAACGGTTTGACGGATTTCCTGGGTTCCAACGCCTAATGACTCCCTGGATGCTTCAGTAGCCGGCCTCCTCTGGGTCTTCTGGCCCCCCTCATCTCCTCCCTCTGAGCCTGAACTGCTCTCTGCCCCAGCCTCTTCCTGCTCACCAAACCCTGTTTCCTCCAGCTTGCAACACCTCCCTTCCATTCTGCTCCCTTTTCCCTCTCTTTCTGCTCATTGCCATCCCACCACCAGCCCCCAGGCTCTGAGCCTTCTTCCCTTGTGGGTCCCCCAGCTGGTGCCTCACCCCCCACCCCCCGCACCCAGCCAGTCCATGACAGCAAAAGCAGAAAAAACAGTAAAATCAGTATGATAGTAATATGCAGTCTGGTCCTCTGGTAGGAAAACTCCCTAGCAGCAGGATTGAATAATAACTTCTGGGACTATGGAAAAGTACTATCTTCTCCAAACCCCAGAATAAGCAGGAGCTCTGGGGTTCCTCCAGGGGGTTCATGAGTGAAGATGGGACCCCCCAGGAGACTTCCCTCGGACCTGCAGCCCCTCCTTCCCCCCTCTTGCAATTAGGCTTGGGGAAAATCTATCGTTAAATTACAGTATTTTAAGTTTTCTTCAGAACGCGCAGGGGGCAGGGATGAAGTTCTGGTGAAGAAGCAGAGTTTGGAGATCATGCGGTGGTGGGGGTGACAGAGTTTGGTGCATAAACCAGTCTGACACTCACATACAACCCCTTCTTGAATGCTTGAGTAGAGCAACTCCAGGGCATGAGCTAAGTAGCAGCAGGGTAGGGGCCATATGTAGAGCAATTCCCAGGCTGAGGTCAAAAACACACACACACAGGCAGGAGGACTTCTTCAATAATAGTTTACTGAGCTTACAAAGCATACAGTTCTCGCTAGGTACCCAGTGAGGCACAAAACTTTGCTCCTGAGAGCAAAGGGAATGGGGGTGACTTCCTTTGCCTGCTGTGCCCATAAATAACCCCCGGATTCGAGGGGGTGTGGGCACTAGGCTGAATGCCCTTGTGTGGACTTTGGCTCTCCTGGACGCTGTCTCTGATCGCGCCACTAGCTGCAGCAACTTGAAAATAAACAATTAGGAAGAAGCAAATGCACATATTTCAAGTGAAGAATGGGGAGTAAAGACTGCTAATTGAAGGGACCTCTACGAAAGAAGATGGGTCAGATAAACAGGAATATATCATGAGAAGACACATCAAGGCTCGGTATGTCGGCAGCGGGACTGGATGAGGGAGGCGAAAAAACTTTTCTTTCTTTCTTCTATGTGATTAACCAATAACACCCCCCCACACACAAGTCAGAAATGCCGATCAAATGACCTAAGCTGGATGATTTAAGACTGTGTGAAAACAAACTCTAACCAAAAGCATGTTTTAAGGAGACTGAGGAAAGTACAAGAGCTTTGGGATGACGCAGCAAAAAACAGCGTCGCCATTTGGGCAAGTTCTGTCGAAAGATTTATGTCTGGGAGGAGGAATGGGTCTGTTTTTATACTGCGGGCGAACCTGCTCAGAGGACTAAAGAAGGCGACAGATTTGCGAAGATTAATGATGGAAAGAGTGCTTTTATCTATGGAAGTGATGATATATGGAAACCATCTCAATATGGCTATTGTACGATCGTAAAAATTCACAATATGGCTATTGGACGATCGGAAAAATTACAACTTGTTTTATACCTGCTTAAGGAGATTATCAGAAGAGGTTGCAAAGAGAAGGAAAAATATACGAAAATAACAAGATGAGATTTGGGAAACAGCAAGATAGGATTGGATAGAATTATGAACATTATTTGGACAGATTTGTGGACATTAATGCAGCAGCAAGAAGATGATTGGACCCCCCTTTGGAACTTGAAATATGGGTACCCCCCACAAAAATTTAAAAATTCGGCTTTGTAATTTATGTGATGTGATTTGATTGGTCGGTTAATAAAAATTATTTTTTAAAAAAAGGAATAAGGTCATTCAACTTGTGATTTGATGTGCGTACACTGTGGACTCAGTGGATGGCGCTGGGTCACCACGGACAACTTCATCATTTCTTGCTATGACACTGAAGCTACCAGCATGAGTTTGACCAAACTGTGGGAGGCAGTAGAAGACAGGAGGGCCATGGCGTGCTCTGGTTCAGGGGGTCACGAAGAGTCGGACACGACTAAACAACAACTATTTCTGGGTTAGCGGAGTCTGTAACCTGAAGCATCCGTAACCCGAGGTATTACAGAAAAGTCCTTGACGCAGCCAACTAACGCATGGACTAACGTTGTTTACTATCTCCTGATAGCGGCACTGACCAATCACACCAAACGCAATGGGGGGTTGGAGCGGAACAGCTGGAAATCAGCTGATTGGCAGGCACAGAACTGCACCTGACAATTATGTGGGCGGCAATTCCCACCCAGAGGGGCGTGAGGGGGCGAGCCCACTTTGTAACCACCCAGGAATGGCCCTGCAGGGGAGATGGCTAGCATGCCCACAGAGAGGGCTCTGAGTGCCCACTCTGGCATGCGTGCCGTATGTTCGCCACCACTTAGCTAGACTGAGCTTGCAGCAGCTAGGCTGGTGTGGAAAGAATTTTGTTGCTGCTGGAGTGCCTCTTTTCCTCCGACTGAAGTGCTCCCAAACCCTGAATCTTAGGAGGGCATGTTTGATAATAATTATAATTTATTGTTTGTACCCCGCCCATCTGGCTGGGTTTCCCCAGCCACTCTGGGCAGCTTCCAACAATGATTAAGAATACACTGGTACCTCGGGTTACATATGCTTCAGGTTACATACGCTTCTGGTTACATACTCTGCTAACCCAGAAATATTGCTTCAGGTTAAGAACTTTGCTTCAGGATGAGAACAGAAAACATGCTCCGGCAGCGCGGCAGCAGCAGGAGGCCCCATTAGCTAAAGTGGTGCTTCAGGTTCAGAACAGTTTCAGGTTAAGAACAGACCTCCGGAACGAATTAAGTACTTAACCCGAGGTACCACTGTACATTAAAATGTATTGATGGCTGGTTAGGGATCCCTACAGAAGTAGCAAAGGCAGGACTCAGAGCTTGCAGGCAGCAGCTGAAGAAGGAGCAAAAAGGGTTTTCTTGTGTGTGTGTTTCTTTGTGGCTGATTAGCTGCTCTCCCTGTGCAAAGGTCAGAGGGGGCAGGGTTTCTGTTGAGGCAGGTGTTTAGCTGTGGGAGGAGCTTATCAGAGCTTGGAGGACCGCTGTAGCCACCCCCAACGACACGTTCTCAAGATGGAGGGGGAGGGAACAGCTGCAGTCGCCTGCGGTTCCTGCGCAATGTTTGCCATCTTGCCAAAGGTTGCAGGCAGCTTTACCTGCAGCAATTGCATGTTGATTGCCCTCTTAGAAGACAAAGTCCAGCAACTGGAGGAACGTGTAGCTACGCTCCAAAGAATTAGAGAGCTGGAGCTCTTCTTGGAAGCAACAGAGCACACCACCAAGGAGGAGACAGGAGACTACCCTTAGAAGGAGGCTAGTTCACCAACACAGGAGCCAGATAGGAACCCTAACCCTAACCCTAGCATGGAAGACGAAGAGCAGACTCCATTTGAGGATCTCTCCCTCATTACAGTCGATCAGGTATATGAAGACGAGCAGCAAAGTCAGTCCTCAGGGAATGTGCAGGCAACCTTGGAACGGACAGCTCACGGAAGAACCCCGACCAAACCTAAGAGGAAGCGTGTAGTGGTGATAGGGGATTCCCTACTGAGGGGAACAGAAGTAGTGATCTTTGGGCCTGACAAGATGTTTCGGGAAGTGTGCTGTCTCCCCGGGGCTAAGATCCAAGATGTAACTGAACGACTGCAAGGAATCATAAAACCAACTGACAAATACCCCTTCCTCTTGGTTCATGTGGGAACCAATGACACTGCAAGCAATAGCCTCCAGAAGATCAAAAGAAACTACGAGGCTCTGGGCAGGAAATTGAAGCAATTAAATGCACAAATTGTCATCTCATCTGTCCTCCCAGTTGAACGACGTGGCCCAGGGAGAGAGGGAAAAATAGTGGAAGTGAACAGCAGGCTTCGCAAATGCTGTAAACAGGAACGGTTTGGATTCTTAGATCACGGACTGCAGTTTCTTGAAGATGGACTTCTGGCAAGAGATGGGCTGCACCTCACAATGGTTGGGAGGAATGTTTTTGCCCAAAATCTCAGAAACCTCATCAGGAGGGCTTTAAACTGACTAATGTGGGGGAGGGAGACAGTGCTCCTGAAGGTAGGAGTCTATCAATTGATGAAGATGATCATCCAAATGTCATAGACCAAATGAAGCAAACAGCACGCAGACCTAGTGGTGGGAGGAAAAAATCCTTAAATAAGAGACACGGGGGAATGATTAATGGACTTCAATGTCTGTACACTAATGCGCAAAGCATGGGAAATAAACAAGATGAGCTTGAGCTCTTGGTACAGCAAACTAAATATGACATAATAGGCATCATTGAAACCTGGTGGGATAAGTCCCACGATTGGAATGTAATAATGGAGGGATACAATCTATTTCAGAGAAACAGACCAGACAAGAAAGGAGGAGGAGTGGCGTTATATGTCAGGGATGTGTATACCTGTGAAGAGATCCAAGATTTAGAATCTCAAAGCCAAAGTGAGA